AAAGTGACGTGGAATATACATTTGGCATTTAAATAAAAGTAAAATGAGTTGGATATTCCGAGTTGACCAACTAACGCCCAAAAGGGCATATATAGACCAAAAGTTGGACGGCGAGGGTATAAATGGACCAAACTTTAAACGAAGGGTATATCTAAACCTTTTTAAATAGTTTAGGGGCATATTTGACCCTTTTCCCTTTTGGAAATATTATCTCATAAACTTCTTGCTACAAATACTGGGGAAAAAAATAAAATTTTATAACTAAATAATCAGAATAAATTTGAAAATTTAGAAGGAATAGAACTGACAGTAAGCACTCAATTGTGTATTCTTGATATTGTGTACTCTTTTTTATATATTATAGATTACTTCTTTCTTCTCGTGGACGTAAATATAAACGTAAAATGCAAGTTGTTTAAAGAACAAAAGGACTCTAACTCATATATCGTAACTTCAATAAAATAATTTAGAGTCATATAAATATTTTGAAGAATCATTTTACATATCACAAGTTTTATTTTTTTTATTTAAATTCGTATTAAATTAAGAAATGCCACATAAAATTAATTGGAAATAATAGATTGTTTTATCAAGATTCAAGAGCTTGAATATGTTTCACATTTGTAGGACCATTAATTTGAATGGACAATGTTTTACGTAGTTTTATTAATTTATATTATTATTAATAACTTTATTAAATACGAGTATATATTATCCTTGTTATTATTTTTATGAAATTTGTCTATTCACATTTTCTTTTTAAATTCTTAAAAGGGTTAAAGAGTTATTTAAGTTTTAATGAGAAATTTCAACTCAAATTGAAGATTGTGTTTGTTTTTAGTTTTTACTTAGTGTTTGGTATTTATGTTGGAGCTCGATTAAATTTGAATTTACATTAAAAATTCCACATAAAAGGGTAAAACACATTTTAACAAAAGCAATTTTATACCCAATGAGGCTCAAACCTAAGGCTGTTTGATTAAGGATGTAGGAGTACTTATCACTCCACCACAACCCTTATCGATAGATAGCTCATGTTAAATATATATAATTAAGCAAATTCCACTTTGTTTAGAAGTCATCTGGTTAAGGCTTTGAACGTTATAGATTTGGTCACAACTTTTCTCAATAAAATTATCAGTAGCAATCAATAATATATATATATATATATATATTTATGTATATATAAATCGAGCATGATTATAAGATTTTTAATAATAAAAATTAAATATCAGGACCTGTTATTGGTGGGTGGCGGCAAACTAACAAGTATCTCGTGGATATATATAGGTGTGCAAAAGCTTATTCAAACACCACAATCATAAAAATAAAAAATAAAAAAAATTAGATGCCAGTATATGAAAAAAATGTATAAGTATCCCCCAACCTATGTCCGAAATCTCAGAGACACGCTTATATTATACTAAGGTCTTATTACCTCTAAACTTATTTTATAAATAATTTTCCATCCCTTTTCGACTTACGTGGTACTATCTTGTGGGCCTAGCGCGTGTTGACATTTTTTTTCAAGTTAGTGCCACGTAGGCCAAAAAGAGATAGAAAATTATTTATAAAATAAGTTCAGAAGATAATAAAACCTTAATATAATATAAGTGTATCTCTAGAATTTTGAACATAAATTGGGAGTATTTATGCATTTTTTTGGCAGTATAACTCTATAACTAATCATAGTGGATAGGAATTGTTTTATAATGTTAATAAAAACTAAGAAGATACTACATGAAAGTACTATACACTTATAAATTCTTTTGCCTTTAATCTAGATTTTTATGTATGATTATCACCAACATTTTAAAAATTAATGGAATCATGATTAACTTCAATTTACTAAAATTAGAAAATGTCTTAAGTTGCTAATCACCTTATAGTGGGAATATATTAGGTTCCCCTTAATATTTTACTTTGATGAAATCCACTGCTATCACTAGATAAGATACCCAATCTTATTTCTGCATATTTTAATTTATGGAAATTTTACGAATATGTATAGTTGGATCAACTAATTTATTAATATGATCGAACTATATATAACATCTAACAACTGGTTGAAAACTTTATACTTCTAAAGTATACATCTTTAAAACTTTGTTTTAAATAATCACAATTTAGAAGGTTAATGCGGTTGATTAACTGTTTGCTTTTAAGGTGTAAATGTTAGTGATTAGCGAGACAAAAAGATATAAATTTGATTAATTGTTGAGAGGAAATCTTCAAGATCTTGTTGTAAAGATGAAGTTTTCGAAAAATAAGAAAATATTTTCTCATTTATCTTATGTGATGATTCATTTTGGTTGATCCACTGAATTAAAAGAAAGATAAAAGTATCGAAAATGCTATTAAATTTGGTGTAGATTATTAATTTCGTCTCAAAATTATTAATAACTTTAAAAACGTCCTTACTATTAACTAACTCAACTTATATACGTCCGATACTTTTATATGTGTCACTTTATTTGTGATTTATCATTGGTGATAGATAGAATCAAAAAAGATCATTCAACTTATTCTTTAAATTGAAAATTTTCTTTTAAAGTAACTTAATTAATATATTTTTCAAACATAGGTATAAAAGAACATAATTCATTTAATTTAGCCTTTTTTATTATTGTTCTAAGCAAGATTCGACTTCTAGTAATCTTTATCAAGAATCAAATCCTTTGAACCTTCTTTTTTTTTTATGTCAAGTAGAAAGCAGCCAATCCATATTCGTGTCTAGTACATTAGTTGTTTGGTAATTGATTAGAAGCTAAAATGTTGCTATATTAAATATTGTATATGTAATATCATATTTGATAGCATTCTTTTGTTATAAATATGATATTCAATGCACGTAATACGTTATTTGATTTGCAATTTAGAAACTATATATTAATTTGTATAATATAAGTTATGAAGAAATCTATATTATTGTTATACATGATTGAGGATTAGCAGTAAAATAGTCGTAATATAATTATTTGATATTTTCTATACAAGTGAATGTCATTTATCGGAAACAACCGCTCTATCCTAGAAAGGTAAGCATAAGGTTTATGTTGTTGAAAAGCTCTATCTATTTTGGAGGTGTTGGCTACATCAGATATTACAGGTGCTTGGTGTTGCTAAGGAAGAACTCCCTGTCAAGTACTTGGGAGTACCTTTTGAGGAATTTTTAACCAAACTAAGTCATTATATAAAACAATTTACCAAAGTAATATATTTTTCTAAAATTTTACAAAACTAGTATAAACGTATTTCATGGTAACGTTTTAGGGTATATTTTATTTTTTAAAAACTAACAACATTAGGTTGATATACGTTACTGCAAGTAACGTTTTACTTTTAAAACGTTATTTTCAATAACGTTTTAGGAGTAAAATGTTACTGTGAGTAACGTATATCAATCTGACGCCATCAACTTTTAAAAAATAAAATATATCCTAAAACGTTACTGTGGAATACATTTATACTAATTTTGTAAAATTTTAAAAAAACATATTATTTTGGTGAATAACTTTATATAATAGCTTATTTTGGTTAAAACCTCACCTTTTGAGTGAAAGAATATTCATTGTCCAGTCTCGACCTATACTTGAGAAAATGGTTGGAAGAATCAACTCCAAAGACTGCAAAGCTCCTATCCTATGCTAGAAGGTCATAGCTGCTCAAGCATGCAGGAAGTTTTGAACCCGAGACTCCCCATATATCCTAACTTTGATGGACAAAGTTACCTGTTGCCGGTGGGAGGTTGCAGATGTCAAGTGGAAATAGTCGAGGTGCACGAGAGTTGGCCCAGACACCAGAGTCATAAAAAAAAATGTACAGTAGAAGATTTCATTGGACAAGAGGTGTTGAGATGTTAAAAAAAGTTAGCATGGCATAAAATTTGTTGTTCCACTATTGCAGGAGGGTTCAATGTGTTGGATGTTTATATATGGAACAAGCAGCCATATGCAAGTTGTTATGGAACCTATGCAAGAAGAAGGATTAACTTTGGATACAGTGGGTACATGAGTGCTATGGAAAGATGGGCATCATAATTGCAGCTAAACTTGGATTGTTTGGAAAATCATCAAAACACGATTATACGTTGAAGATATAGGACTGAGTATGAATCAATGGCTACACTGGCCTTCCTCCTCAATCAAGAAGTAATATCAAGTGATGAGAGGGGAGTTCCCGCAGGAAATTGGTTTGTAACAACTTGGGATCTCCTTCGTGGCACTTTGTTTTTTAACCTAGCTGCACACAGAAAATCATCCACTGGGGATAGACTTGCAAAATGGGGGATCACTTACGCCTTGCCCACTCTGCAACACAGAACCAGAAACTATAGACTGTTCTTTAAATGTTCTGAGACTGCTGAAATCTAGAATAAGTTGCTACAATAACAGGGAATCCACAAGCAGGAACTAAAATGGCAGGGGAATCGACATGGCTGAGATAGTTATGACAGGAAGTGCAGGAGTTGAACTATATAAATTGGTGCTTGCTAAGATGCCTTTATTAGGTCTGGCTGAAACGAAATACTACAGTTTCCCAAGGGACTCAGGTCAGCAGTGATGATAGCTAGACAAGTAATCCAGGATGTATTGTGTAGAATAATAAGCAGTCCAAAACAAGGAAGAAAGCTAAGACTCTTAATTTTTATCCTTAGTTGTTGCTAACTAGTTGTGAGGAGGATGAAGTGATAGCATAGTGTTTGGCTTTGGGCCCTGTCCACTGCAGACTTACTTTGAGTTTGGTTCTTGTAAATATTGCTATTTGGTAAACAAAATGTTACTTACCGAAAGAGAAACAATCACGGAACCAAGAGTCTAGTGATTTGTCGACTGGTGAAATAGCACTCATTTTAGCATTCTTCTTCTGCGTCCACATAATGTGAACCAATGAGTTATGCAACTCAGTACTCAGTTTTGAACTAAACAACCTCGACATTAGACAATGAAATTGAAATAATCATTTCAGTACTCAAACAATAAAATTGAAGAACTTCCTAGTCAACAAAAACATATTAACTTCCAAGTAGAGAATAACATGAAGTCATCTGAAAGCAAACTGTTATATATTATACTGACTTACCCAAAACAAATTGAGGTCTCAAATCTTCATCTCTATTCCTTACAGGAAAGCCTGGATGTGCCATTCACCAAATGGAAGGTTCACAGCAAGCTCGAATTAATGGAAACTAATAGTAGAAGATACGAAAGTAGCAAATTATTATCTTCCCTCTTCACACCCTTGAGGGAAAGGCGAGGATAGTAATCAGGGATTCTATGGGCAATCATAAGCAAATGTAAGATCAAATTCATAATAAGTTGTACATCCTTTTGAATCCTACAAAAGCTTCACATCCCCAGTTCACACTTCACGTGCTGAACTCGAAGTTCTTTTTAGTTTCCGATGTGGATCTAATGAGTAACTGTTAAAGATGCAAAAGTATATATATGAACAAGGATGATTTACATATTCTCTCTACCAAATTTGTGCTTGTCTACATCAGAACTCTTAATTGTCTGGTTGAAGCTCATAACTCCCATCGTTTAGCAGACTCAATTCAAACACTGGAGAATCTGAATCATCAAACATGTCTACCAGATTAAACCTTCCATGCTTTCCGTCACTATCAACTGGGATATGACCCTTATTCTTTACTCTAGACTTCCCAGCTTCCGCTGAATTAAATTTTTCAGCATGGACAGACAACTTCCTCTGATCTGTGCTCTTCCTGAGCTTATTCTGCATGCCCGTGCGACTGTTTCCATCTTTCGACACATTATTAGAAACTAAACCCTCATTTCCTTCTCTATTGGATCCACTTCTTAGTTTTGTTGAATTTTTCTGCTCATTTCTAGCACTCTTCATTCTCACCTTCTTATCACTTTCTACCTCTTTCTTTGCTAACTCCGCCTGCATTTGAGCATGAACTAATCTATCACTTCCACTTTGAGAATCTGAACCCAAATTTGAGAACTCATCAGAACCACGATCAGTATTCTCAACATTTCCATAGGGTTTAATGCTATGAACAACCCCCTTAGGGAAAAATCTTGCTGAGGGTAATCCATCTTCAGGCTTGAACAATTCTGGCCCATCTTTGTCAGACCACATATCAAACCCTCCAGGCTTTTGAAACCGATCTGCCAAGACTCTCAAATGCTCATCCGCACTCACAGAGAATAAAGTAGGTGCCTTTTCAACCACTTCCCAAGGCCTCTCAAGCTCAGAGACAGCAGCTTTCAGCTCAGCCCGCTTCCTCATCTCATAAATTTGGCGTTCCCGAGCCAATCGGGCCTTAAGGAGCTGCTTAGACTTCTTAGCTTGCATACGCTTCCACTGCCACTTTGAAACGCCTCCAGGATACGTTCTTGGACCACCACCCATCCTAATTATTAACTTTCTGTAAGGAACATTGGTTATTGTGGTGGTGGTAGTGGTTAGACTAAGGGAAGAAAACTTGGTGGAGAGGAAGAGCTGGGATTCCCCTAAAATTGTCTTGGACGAAGATATACTCTTACAAGGTGCTGAAACTAAGAATGATGAGCTGAGGAGAGACATTTTCTTCCTGTAAACACAAGACCCGAAACTTCATAACTGAACATGGCTAGAGAATAAAATAGATCACGTCGAAAATGATACACATTGTATCATAAATTCAGGATTCTAAACTAATTTCTCCACCTTGACTTGACTTTGTAAAGAGTTACTTTGGCTCAAATGAATTGCAATTCCTAGTAAACAACATTTATCTTTTTATCATTAAAATTCTTCTCCCAGTAATTACATAAGTAAGACGATTTTCCATCGCAAGATCAGTTCACCCCACTTAGAATATCATCGTCAACAAGTGAACTACCCTACATTGAGTAACTATCTGAGATATCGGATGAACTACCCTAAGTTGAGTAACCATTTGACATATTATCTCCATATATTTATTATTATTAACACCCAACAAGCAACTACAAGTTTCAATCTCAAATTATTTGCATCAGTTATGTAAATTGTACCAATCAAAATAAAAAAATAATCTTAATTTAGTTTTTTCTCATATCTCCATTGTTTTTTTGAACTAGGATACTAAATTAAACAGAGAAACATTCCAGATATAAAAAAGTAAACAGATTTTGAGAGAGAAAAATTTCGAAAACTCACAAATTAGCTGAAAAAGGCGCAGAGACAAAATAAATCAAGAAAGAGAGAAATTAAGGTGACCTGAATAGAGCTTCGAAGCAGTCGATTCGCCGTTCAACTGAAATTATTCCGGCGTCTTCTCTACACTCATCTATATCTTTTCTTATGGCAATCTGTGAATTTTGAGAATATGCATACTTATCTTAATTCAAAATAATTAAATAAGACAGCGTTAACAAGTTGCACCAGTGGTCTAGTGGTAGAATAGTACCCTGCCACGGTACAGACCCGGGTTCGATTCCCGGCTGGTGCAATACATTTTTTTTTGCTTGAGTATTTTGGGTCAAATTTTTTCCGATACGTAACAAAAGTAAATATCTTTAATCATAATAAATATTGAAAATATTATGAATATCAAATAAACACATAAGTAAAAAATAATAAGTAATTGATAATTTAAATACTTTAAAAAGGATCAAAAGTGCCCCTTGGAACACTAATTATAGCTTCTTCTTTTTTCTTTTTTTGTTTTTACTAAATTACTATATTTCAATCACGATATTAAATTTTAAATATATCAAATCTTGAAATCATAAAACATATATATATATATATATATATATTCTTCTCAATCAATAAAAAGATATTTCTTTTTTATTCAACAGTGGATCAACAATAATTTTAACCATAACTTTATCATTAAAAAATAGTTTTTCTTGAACAATTACTCTTTATTTATCCATTAAATGTCAAAGACAACAAAAAGTAATACAAATGCTAAACCAATGGTAAATAAAAAAGACTATTTTTTTGATACTATAAAAAAAGAAAAAACATAAAAAATTTGATACTTTTTCTCATAAAGTTTCATGAGTAATTTGAGGATAAACATTATCAATATTGTATATTTTATTTTTATTAAGATTGACGATTTCTTATAATAAGAAGTCAATATCAATAAGATTAAAACTAAAAATACATATATTAGTCGAGATTGCAACCAATAAAAATCTCTAAATTAAACAAGTTTTTTTTTTTAAAAAAAAACATTTGGGAAAAAAAGAAGATAAAAAAGAAATAAAAAAATTGGGATATTTTTGTATTTGTGCAAAATATTCCTATTTATAGTCAAAACTTTTCCTTTAAACCCTAGCATCTTCTTCACCTAAACCCTAAACTTCTTCTTCTCACAGTTCTCTCAACTCGCGGCTGCCATGGTACTTTCTCTCTCTCTCTCTCTCTAATAATTTTGCTTTCGAAGTTCATACTTTTGCTTAATTTTTTTGAAATTTGTCATCTTTTTGCTTGATTTTTCTGTTCTAATATACAATTAATTAGGCAACGGAAACTGTGAACCCAAAAGCATACCCACTTGCTGATTCACAGCTTACAACGACGATAATGGATTTGGTTCAACAAGCTGCTAATTATAAGCAGCTTAAAAAGGGTGCTAATGAAGGTTATTGACTTTTTTACACTTTTTATTATTATGTTGCCAATCATTTTTGTATCTACTGTTTTCAATTGAGATTAAGAAAACTAAGATAGTTTCGTTTCAGCCTCAAAGAGAACCTTTTTTGTTTGTGGTGGTGGGGAATAAGAGCTAGAAAGGTTGTTACTTGTGTTGTTTTGGAACTTTATTATTTGGTCTTTTGGTGAATATGTTATATGGGTTAGTTTTGTTCAAGCCCCAAAGAAATGAGAGTTGTAAAGATTGTTACTTGTTTTGAAACTTTATTATATGGTCTTTTGGTGAATAAGTTACTCTTTATGTGTAGTGCTTCACTAAAGATAGAGAAAACTTGGTTTGTTTTGTTTGAACCCCCAAAAGAAGCTTTTTTTTTCTTTCATTTTTCATGGGATAAGAGCTAGAAAGATTGTTACAGTAGTATCTTTTGGTTAATACTTAGTAAGTTACTTTTATGTGTAGTGCTTAACTGAAGATACAGAAAACTGGGTTAGTTCTGTTTCACCCCAAAGGGACTTCTGTTTTTTTTTTCATTTTTCATGGTGATAAGAGCCCGAAAGATTTTTACAGTAGTATTTTGAATTGGGTTTGGTTTCATTTATCCCATGGAAAAAGAATTAGGCATCAAGATTTGATTTTACCACCCTTAAGTGATAAATCGGTAATGTGTTGCTCCTATTTTTTTGCTCAACTGAAAGAGAACTGTATCTTTGTTTTGTTTCAGCTACAAAGACACTCAACAGAGGAATTTCAGAATTTGTTGTCATGGCCGCAGATACTGAGCCCCTTGAAATCCTTCTTCACCTTCCACTCCTTGCCGAAGATAAGGTGATTTATTTTTCCTTTTTTTCAAGAAGTTCTATTCTTTCGCCCTTGTTGATGTTTTTCCCTTTTTAATTGAGTATTGGACTAAACAGCTCCAAATAGAGGTAGTGAATACTGAGTATATATGAGGGACTCTGGCAATTTTAAGATTTATACATGTCTCTTCTTTTTTTGGTCTAGTTATTGGCATTTCAAAGAGTTGTGTTTGTTACTCTTTTGTGTTACGCTGGGTGAGGTTACATTGTTCTGATTTCAGACTATGGAAATTGGAAACCATGTACATATTATGCACTTTCCCCTATATAAACTCATCATTTTGAAGAGCTGTATTATATGAGAGTATTGTAGCTATTTGCTTTTTCATTCTATGATTTGGCATGTGATATTTCTTTTCCTCTTGAAAATACATCTAAAGCTGCAAGACCAAGCCTGACTAATCATATTCTTCCAATGTCTTGGCATTTTCTATCAATTTTATTGCATGGTGTCAAATGTTGCGAGTTTCCAATAGTGTCAAATCCCGATCAAAGGGTACTAGGATTTTTTCCCTACTTAGGGCTCGGAAGCGAGATCTCTAGTGAAGAGTGGAGCATCGTATACATTCTACCACAACCCTGGTTGGTGAACAAAGGAGAAATCTTGTTAGAACTATACAGTTGCAAGGATGCCATTATCAGTATAAGAGCTATACAGACCTCTTTTACTCAAAGTTTTTATTTGTAGCTTTATTCAGTTTTTTTATTATTTTGAATTGTTTCCTAGTTGCATATACATTGTCTTAGTTATAGTTTTCTATAATAGAATTGTGTTGTCCTTGAACAACAATGTGAGAATTCATTCATGTCTTTCAACTTTTGGCACACTTTTCCAACATCAGTCTTGCTCTGTTCTGCAACTGTATCATCCTTCGTTTGGTGCTCAATTTAGCGTCTACAGTCTACTGTGTTCAAATAATAACAAGGGAGTTTTGTTTCAAGTAATGAGTTCTAACTTTTTCTCCTTCCATCAATTCTTTCAGAATGTGCCCTATGTCTTTGTCCCTTCAAAGCAAGCTCTTGGGCGAGCATGTGGTGTTACCCGCCCCGTCATTGCTTGTTCAGTGACAAGCAACGAGGGAAGCCAGTTGAAATCTCAAATACAGCAACTAAAGGTAACATTCCAAATCTTTTATTCTTTGTCATATCAACAACCGTTTTCCCTCGTGTAAATACTCAAATCCCTGTTTCTCTTCTTATGCAGGATGCCATTGAGAAGCTCCTCATCTAAATGTTGAGCCTTTTGCAGCATGATGGGCCTCAACTTCACTTTTGAGGCTTGGACTGAAGTAGTTGCCGTCCTGTTGGCACTTTTTTTTTTTTTAAATCCTTGTTTCCTTTTTGTTCTTGGATTTTTTACTATTGATGTTCTAAGAGGTACCGATAGAAGCATGAAAATTGAATATCAGGCTTACGTTACAGTTAAACCTGAGTTTTATTATATCGTGTATGTTTAATGTAATTCTAGTTTTGCTCTTATCATTTGGTTGGTGCAATGAAGTATCCTCTTTGCTTCCTCTTCTATATAATTTGTCAGCTGGTAGCTTATAACTTATTAGTTCAACCTATTAAGCATGAATTAATCATCTAATTCCAATTTTAGTCTCAGTTCATTTCATCAAATTTTGGTATACTTGGTCTTTGTCTCTGATTTTCTATTCAAAAGTTGAATAATGAGATGCTTTATAGAAGTGCTCTTTGTTTCTTTTGCTCCACCTTTATAGGATCATGTGGTCATTTGTCTCATTGCTACCTAATTGAAACATTTGAAGTTTACGAATTCTGAATTTTGGACCAAAAGTTATTAAATTCTGTTGAATATGTCGATAGGTGTGTACGTGCAACTAACAAACGAATCGTGCTGATTATAAAAATTGCAGGATCTTCAGCTGTTCGTCACTTTGCCAGCAAATATCTCAGCTTAAAATTATATGCAATAAGTTTTATATGAAATTATGATGGTATCTTCAGTCTTTTCTTTTTAATATACATAAAATGTTTCCCATTTAATAGACATCTTAGTTAGTCAAATCCATAAACAAAAGGTTATTTCCTATTGGCTACAAATGTTAAAAAATTGTTTGTTATTATCACAACTTAGATTTCTTTGATACACTGCTTCAACACTAACAAAACAACAATGTTTTGACGAGGGATGAATCTTCTCTTTGGAGTATACGTTCGATAAAATTTCATAATTCGTGTGTAAATTATATATTGATCTTCAGAAATTACATTGAATTAATATGTTTTGATTAATTTTGAATTTTTAAATTTCAAATTTTAAATCTATTTCTACGGCATCATATGGGATAGTAGTACATTGATAATGAGACAAGAAAATCAATTATATTAGATTGTCATTTGGTCCATGTTTTGATATTCGTTTAGTATTTGCAATGTTTTTCACTAACATGATGTCTATCAATTTATGTTTTTGGTCGATGAAATGTACAATTTGCAAATATTCTTAGATTCTTGGTTCAATTACCATTGCTACTAATGTTGGATGTTTCCATTGTTAGATTATAAGTTACTCAACTTTTATAATTTCATATTGGAAATTTGTTGAGAAAAAAAGCTTCCAAACCTTTCAAAATTTATCCGTATTCAATATTTATAGTATTAAATTGAGTCCGGAGCTTAAAGGGTATAAAATGTTAACAAAATTTTTAAAATGGTATATGAATTTTTATTTTAACCAAAAGCAGCGATTTTGCTCGCGGAAAAAGTAAAATCACTGCAATAGCAGCGATTTGCAAAATTTGATTTTTTTAAAAAAAGAAATTATTGCCTTGACAGCGATTTCCAAAATATTTTTTTTAATGATTTTTTAATAAATCGCTGCCTAAGCAGAGATTTCTTTTAAAAAAAATTAATTATTTATTTGAAATTAAAAAA